CTCCTTCGAAAATCTCTACTCCCAGGTACGTATACTTGTCTACTACCGGTAGTTCTTCCTCCCCCCGTTTCCATTTGAATTGTACGGGGTTTTTCTTGTCTTCGTTACAGACCGCTACTGCGCATTTTCCTACGTTCGCCGACAGTCTCCATTTTCGGGTGTATCCTACCGCCGCATCTATTTGTTCTTGCAACCCTTCTGGTGTTTCGGATACCCCCACGAAATCATCTGCAAACATCAGTCCGGACACACTCTTTCCCCCTACTTGGACTCCCTGTCTTACTGCTTCAACCGCCCTTATCAAATCGTTGATGTAAATCTTAAAAAGAGTGGGTGACATCGTACAGCCCTGTGCGACTCCTTGGAGTATATCCACGTACTTCGAGATTTCCCCATCCAACATTACCGCACTTCTTGTGCATTCTGTCATCTTTTTCAACATCCTCCACATTTTCCCCCGGATCCCGATGTCCCACACCTTTTTCCACAATCCATTGCGCCATACGGTGTCGTAGGCTTTTTGTACATCTAGGAAGAAACAGTATGTCGTACGCCCGGCGTCTTTCCTACCTTGGATAATTTTACTCAACGTATATACATGGTCTACACAACTACGATCTGGTCTAAATCCAGCTTGTCCTCGCTGATCTTTTGTTTCCCCTCCAACATGTCTCCCATTCTATTGTCTATCATCTTGCCATACAGTTTCCCCACTGTGCTCAGCAGGGTTATCCCTCTATAATTCCCCGGGTCAGTTGTATCCCCCTTTTTGAACAGGTTCACGACTACTCCTTCTCTCCATCTCTTCGGCGCGTACTCGTGTTTCCATATCCAGTTCAATATCCGGACCAACATGTTAATCATCCCCTCCCCCCCCTGTTTCAAAAGCTCGTTCACAATTCCATCAGCCCCTGCCGCTTTTCTATTCTTGAGTTTCGCTACGCAGTCCTCTACCTCTTCTCGTGTGAACTCTCCCTGCAACCCGTCTACATCACTACGTTCCCTCCGAGATCTTTCAACGTTTGAGGGAGGGGGGGGGGGAGGGGCCCCCACGGGTAATTGAGTTGAGTTATTGCTCATCCTCTCAGCACCTTTGTCAAAATTTCCCCACCCTCATAGCACGACAGACCAACATCTTGGTGCTTGCAGCGTAAAGACCCTGCTACAAAATGCCAGGAAGGTATCAACAGAACGCCTGCGTGTTCCTGTTAAGTATCTGAAACAGCACGGTACACGAGCCACTGTTCGATTTGAAACACCAACCACCTCCGGACAAAAAGTTGATATCTCGTCAAAAGTAAGGACTACTACAAAACACCACGAACACATCTATCGACACTGGATTTCCCAACAAAACACACCCTCACATGAAAAAACACATACTTGACGTCGTCGCACTTCCGCGAAAAATACACGCAGGACGCGGGAATATTCTGCAGCATTCTTTCGACTACCGAGCGCGACCAGAGCACATAGCCAGCCGCGCTTGCGAACCGTAGTCGGATTGCAACGTGCCGCCTTCACAAAGAAGTTGTGCAAGGGTGCGTGTAGTGAAGTATTACGAAACGCCGTCCTCAGAGTATTTTGAGTAAGTATACTCACTCAAACTCGGTTGGTGAATGCGGCTGAGCAGTTTTGAAATACTTTCTAAAACGCTCGAGTACGGATGAGTATTTTCGAAATAGTTACTCAAAGGCTTCAGTAAAAGTTGAGTATTTTTGAAATACTCAAGGATTTACTCCAAGGTTGAGTAAATATACTCGAGTAGCTGAGCGCATGAGTAGCTTTCTCAATCTCCTGAGTATCGATGAGTATTTTTGAAATACTTACTCAAAGGCTCTAGTACTTGTTTAGCATTTTTGACATACTTACTCAAGGAAATACTCAACAGATGAGTAAAATACTCAAGTATCTGATTACGCACGAGAAATTTTAAAATACTTACTCAAACGGTTGAGTACACACGAGCGTTTTTTAAATACATAAATCAAACGGTTGAGTACACAATAGTATTTTATTTTTATTTTTCTTGTGACACAACGAATCCATCTCTATCATGAAAAGACGAGTATTTGTGAAATGCTTACTCAAGGGCAATACTCAAGGTCGAGTATTTACTTCTCGAGTATGAGTATACTTTACTAACAAACACACCCTTGAAATTGTGCTCCTCAAGCCTTCAGAACACATCAGCAGCAGCGAGACGAAAACACAACCAACACACAGGCCTTGGTACTACGTACGGCTCGGGGGACGCCCATTTCCCACCTGTAGCTTCTTCTGCAGAGCCACGTAGTCCACGTTGGTCCTTCGTCTCTTGCTGGGCAGGGCACCCTCGTCGCCTCCCCCTGCTTCCTGCCTCGGCGGTTGGCCATCTGTCTCCACCTGAAAAGAAGAGGCGGCAACAAGAGGACCGAAAAAAGATGCCCAAGGATGAGGGGTTTTCGGCTCCCACTTGTTCAAGGCATTGCTATTATGTATACTCCATGCTTTCCCCGGCGGATTCTTTCGGACATGGGCAGACAGCAGACAGCAGACAGCAGACAGGTACAAGCCTTAGGGCTGTTAGGGGAATAGTGCCGCCGACCTGCAGTCTTGGTTCGCCACAGGGCACACGGCGTGTCATCATTGTCAACTACCGATTGTCCTTGGTTTTGTTCGTACGCTCCACCGTGGGGCGTTCTTGGCTTGGGAGGAAAAGCAGGGGGGTTAGGCTGAACGCTGTCGCTTGCTTGTTTGCCGTTGCTTTTGGGACAGCAGTGAGCTATAATAGCTGACACCGTGGGGCGCTCTTGGCTTTGGAGGAAAAGCAGGGGGATAAGGCTGAACGCTGTTGGTTTG